GATGTCTTATTTGAAACATTTGATTATTCATAAGAAGAGTGTCCATATTAGTATGCTAACTAAAAGAAACCAGATACCAAAGATCACATACTATATAATTCTATCTTTGTGAAATCTCCAAAACAGACAAACCCTAACAAAAGAAAGTAGCTTTGTGGTTGCCAAGGGCTGAGGGAAAGGCTAATGGGGAGTGATTGCTAATAGGTATGGAGTGTCTTTGGGGGATGGTGAAAATGTTCTTGAATCAGACAGTAGTGATCACTGGGCAACTCTGAATACACCAAAAATCACCGAATTATGCATTTTAAAAGGGCAAAGGTTATGGTATGTGGCTTATATATCAAATAATAAAAAACAAAGCATGTTAATTTTCTACAGTGAATATTCCACCTGATAATGTAATAAAATGCAATTCGGTAGTGGAAGAGAGGCTATTAGTGAGGGAGAGAAATGACAATCCTGTGGGCCTTCCGTAGGTTGACACTGGGAAGATTATTCACATTCACTCTGTCATCATCTTGCGACGTTCTGATAAAAGGAAGGACCGAGTGGAGATCTCTCCAGAGCAGTTGTCTGCGGCTTCCACAGAGGCAGAGATATCCTTGGTGGGGCACCTTCGCTGCTTTCCGGTGACTGTTCCCAGTTTTCATGCTTACACTGTTCGAGCTGATTGCTGGGTTAATCAGGATGTTTTCCACTGCTCTTTTTGAGTGCCTTTTATTGGAAGAATTCAAAATGTTGAAAGGTCTCAGGGTCAAATCCTATGACGATGGACTTGATTTGTCCCCTAACACCTCTGGAGAACTTTTCTTTTTTTTGACAGCCCTTCAAACAATGCATTGCTATATTAAATATGAGAAGAACAAAAAATCAAGTGGGGCATATGCTTCCTGTAATCCATAATTGCAAGTTAAAGGTGCCACAGCGATTTTAATAACTCCCTGTCCTTTCTGATGGAGTTAATCTAAAGGTAGTTTTTTACAAATAGATTCAACACATACATGGTATAAAATTCTCAAGGTATAGAAAGGTATTAAAAAACAAAACAAAAAACCTTTCACTCCAACCTCTGCTCTCCAGAGGGATCTATCGTTATCAGTTTTCCATGTATCCTTACAGAACATCTTATTTTTAAAATTGTGTTTTAGATCTTGAAATTTCTAATATGCATTTTTCATACACATAAACAGGATCAGATTTTCATTTCAAAGTGTTATTTGTATTTTGCTGTTCATTACCTGGTTATTTCTCTTGTCCAGTTTTCTATTGATTTGATTATCTTTTTCTTAATAGCATATATTAAGAAAATTGGCCCTTTGTGATAAGAGCAGTGGTTTCCCTAGTCTGTGTTTTATAGTATTTGCTTTTTCCCAATTTACAGATCATGTTTAGATCTTCAAAATTATTGATCTCTTCTGGTATAAGCCTTTTGCAGTTTATATTTCATTAACTATTTTAACTCTTTAATACAAGAAACCCTCTTTATTTAAAATAATTATTGGTGGTACAGATAGATTGCTTGTACTCTTGCCCCAACCTCCCCTTAAAGGTTACATCACTATAGTATGTGTACATCACTTTGAGACCCACAGAATTGCCATTAGTACAATGTGTGTAGTTCTGTGCTGCTCTGTGCGTACATTTGTAATCATCACAGCAGTCAAGCTACAGAACATTGCCCTAGAGACCACAACCTCCACCACCTATAGGACAGAGTAGAACTGCCCCTGTGCATTTGCAAGACTGTTAAAAGAAGTAGAAAGCCCTGTCTTTCTCCCACAGAGCGGCTGGTGGTTTTGAACTGCTGACCTTGCAGAGCTCAGCCCAATGCGTAACCACAGCACCACCAGGGCACCCAGATATTCCTTTCAAGTATTGCTATTTTTAAGACTTTCAGGTTGGTAGGACCATAGATATGTCCTCACTGTCTGAGCATTCTCCTGACCGGCTGCAGAGTCCTGGGGCTGGTGGGACCTGTATTCCTTATCATGCAGGACCCCTGCACGCTGGACATCCTTCCTGCCTGACTCCTTCCTTCCTACCTCACCCTGCCCTTCTGGTACCACACTGACTCTAGCCCTCTCCCCTGTGCCCTCCTCTGCTTCTGTCTATTCCAGAGCTTGGGGTTAGAGTTCATCAACAGCTGGAATAACAGTGGTCTCCGAGAGAAAAGGAATAAAGGCCCCCACATTAGTCTCTCCATTTTTCTACATTTATCCTCAAAAGAATGCCACCTTTGTTGTAGATTTAGGTAAGCTTTTCAGCTAGCACAGTGATTGGAATTTGAGTGATCCAACATTAGCTGAAATTGAATTAACAGGGTAAAATTAACTATCTAGTGATAGATGTCACAAGGATTTTACTTTTAAAAACTGGCTTTAAGTAGCCAGGCTGGAAATCTGAGCATCAACCTTATTTCAGGCTTTTGCCAGCATTACATCATTTATTTTAAACTTCACAAATGTCCTCTTGTTTGGAAGATACCTTGACAGTCATACAGATTGGCCGAGCTCACAGGTCGCCCCATGAGAGTCGTGGGCTGGTACCATTCCCATCCACATATCACTGTTTGGCCTTCTCATGTGGGTAAGTAGGCGGGGATTGCAGTGTTCATTGTGCTTACAAAGTAGTGTAATTTTTGCTCTGCTGTTGAATAAGCTACCACATTTTTACCCCCAGCTGACTCCTCTTACATAGGACTTCTTAGGAGAGTATTGCTGCCAGTGTGTGAGGTCCTCCAGGCACACGTTGATTCCAAGCAGGTCTCTGTACGCAGTAGGTGCCTGCAGACAAGTTCTCTCAGTCAAACACTAGTCTCAGGCTTAGTAGAGTGCCTTCAAAAAAGGCGGTACGGGGGGGATACTTTCGGTGTCATGGGGAAAAAACCCAACAATTTTAAGGCCAGGGCTAATAACAAATTGTTACGGAAACTCAAGTGGACATCTTCCCAAATCATTGACGTTTTGCTGCAAGTTTTCAGGAGTGCTACCCTACATCACACAACACAATAAACCTAATACTGTAAGCTATGTTCATACTCATAGTGTCCTTAGGCTACATGCCTCCGTGTCTTCCTCGGAGAACGTGAATCCAGAACAGATGATACACTACTGTGTTCAAGTCTTCAAGCCTGTGGTACACGTTTTATTGACAGAAGCTTTTAAATTTTAATTTGCAGATGTTCGCACACAAGCCATGTACCAGATGATGGACCAAAGCTTTGTAGGACTGATTTTTTCCTGTTTCATTGAAGATAAAAACACCAAGGTAGTGTGCGTGTGTGTGCGCGCGCGCGCGCGTGTGCGCATGTTTGTGTAAGTATAAGCAATCTCTTTGCAGTTTCACTAGGGTCGGCAGAGCAAGTGAGAAGAGCCCCTGATGGTGTAGTGGTTCCGTGCTGGGCTGCGATCTGCAAGGTTGGCAGATTGAAACCACCAGCTTCTGGATGGGAGAAATATGGGGCTTTCTACTTCTGTAAAGAGTTGTAGTCTTGGAAACCCACAGGGGCAGTTCTATCTTGCCCTATAGGGTCACTCTGAGTCGGCATCGACTTGAGGGCAGTAAGTGGCAGGGAGAGCAAGAAGCTACAAGAAGTGCACATCCTTTAAGCTGAGGCCTGAAGAAGGCGAGCGAGTCAATCTTGGGGAAGAACTTTTCAGGCAGAGGAAAGAAACACTTAAGGGGTATCTAGAAAGTGGGTGTGGCAGCAGCCAAGTGAGGAAGAGGGAGGAAAATAGGCGAGCACATGTCTCAGTTCTAGTTTGACCCGACTCTTCCAGCAGCCTGTGCTTCTGGTACAAGTTCATGGTCCCATGAAAGAAACCTAACTATTTAACATTGTAGTCTATTCACTAGTGTCTCAGAGCTGGGTTAATTAAAGATATGCTCCATAAAATTGTTCTCTTCCAGAAACATGCAGATTTCATGTTTCAACATTTTGTTTTGACCAGTTTTGCCTTTTCCGTCATTAATTTCGTTGCAGCCTGATAGTTGCTGTTTTAAAGTTTTGCTTCTAAAGTTCCTATTCTTTATGTTCATCAGCTGCTGTCACATAATCAGATGTGTGGTCCAGCCCTCTCACGGCTGACTGACTACAAATCCTTACAGAAATTAGGTTCTTCTTGGCACTCCCTTTTACCTTGTGCTTCCAGGGTGGACTTTGGGGTTTAGTTTAGAACCCACTAAATTGCTAAAGTTTTCTCTATATGAATCCATCTTGGTGTGACTTTTTTTCCTCTTCTCTCCCTTGCTAGACTGGCCGGGTGCTCTACACTTGCTTCCAATCTGTACAGGCCCAGAAGAGCTCCGAGTAAGTATGTGCTCATTTATTTCTCTCACTGGTGATAATACTAAGAACTACAGTGTCTCCTGCAACCTAGGAACCTCATTTCCTTTCCTTTACTCTGAAAAACAAAGACTGTGCATGCATGCAGACTATTCCTGATTTGTATAGGTTCTCATCTTTGCAAAGACTAAATTTCAGAATTAAATATTTCATATTAAATGTTGGTCAGTTTTTTTTTTCAGTTTAACTAATTCTATTCAACCTAAATTAGCAAATCTATATTGACCATGGTAGGCATGAAGGATACAGAGACAGAAATCATTGTCTACTTGGAAGGCAGAAGCAACAAGTGTCTTAAATTCTCTTCCTATAATACTTAAATCAATTTCTTTTCTAGCATGTTTTGAAACAGCAAAAATTTAAAGAAGAAAACCTTAGATGTCTGTCAGTACAGAATTGATAAAATAAATTGTGATGTATCCATATTAGAATGCAATATTATGCACATATAAAAAATAACCTGTGAGGAAAATCTGTCTCTGATTCAAAATCTCAGTGCCAGTGAATCCATTCTGACTCACAGCGACCCTCCAGGACTGAACAGAACTGCCCTGGGGGGCGGGGTGTTTCCAAAGCAGTAAATCTGTATGACAGTAGAAGGCCTTGTGTATCTCCCGTGGAGCACCTGCTGGCTTCAAACTGCTGACTTTGCAGTCTAGCAGCTCAATGTGTAGCCCCTTTTGCCACCAGACAAGGTAGAAACACACTAGGTACAGTTTGTTACCACTGTGTAAAAAGATGTGTAGAGAAATTTATGCATGCACACACCCACTTACTGGCTTTGAAATGCCCAGAAGGACAAGGAAAATCCTTGGTCCCTTCTGCAGAGAGAAACTCTGTAGGGGGAGTGAAGGGGAGGGGACTTGGAAATGTATCCTTTTTGTAGTTTTGAAATGTGAAACCAGGCAAAAATGTCACCTAATTAGGAAACATTGATCTTTAACATTTTTATCCTAAAAATAGCAAATGGTACAGAAAGACTTACAATAAATAGTCTTATTCTCCAAAAGGAAACACCTCTCTCTCATTTTGATAGCTCTACTTAGCATACTTATGGCACTACTTAATTTATCATTTTTAGATCATATCTATTCTTATTATTACCATTTTACCTTGCTCTCACAAATTAGGATTTAAATCATTTAACTACCCCATTTCCCATTCCTCCAATATAATTACGATTTTTATTCTTCTATTGGTTACTTTTTTACCGTTCAATAAAATGTACCCCTTTATTTATCCTATCAACAATAGGTATTTGCAATGAAGAAGTCATTGGTCTTGCAAAATTCTATCTTGTGACCTCCAGCTTTGCTTCCTTGGTGAGGATCATGTTTTCCAACTGTTTCTTCCTCTTTGTTTACAACTTTCTCATTCCAGTAATCATCAGTGCATCTTGATTGCATGTGTGATCCATTTCTGAGTGAAGAAGTTGGTTTCGTTTTGTTGCCCAAAGGATCACTGAGTCTTAGCTACCTCATCAGCACCTGAGAACAAGCAACCACAGCCATAGTGGACAGACAGTATCTTTTGAGTCCCCATTGTTATTTATATTTTACCATAAACTTTTCTTTTTTCATGGCTGTCTCTATCTATGGCTTAGATTGTAACCACAAATGTGTTTCCTGTGCACTGTGTATTAGACAAGTCTAAGAAAAGAAACTGTTTTACACTGTTGTAGTTAGATGCTGTCAAGCTGCTTGCACCTCATAGTGACCCCATGACAGAGTGGAACTGCCTATATGGTTTCCTAGCCTCTCATCTTTGTGGGTGGTTCCAACCCCTGACAAGAGCTTAATGATGGCACCACCAGGGCTCCTTGTTATATAAATAGTATTCAGTGGACAGAGACAACATTGTGAGGTAGTCTACTATGATTCCATTTCCTTTCTTTTACAGATTTTTTTTGGGGCTTTTTCATGGGTTGAAAATATTTTTCCCTTTAATTTGTGTGCCTCTACCATTTCCCGAAGTTCCAAATTCTTATAAATAATATTTAAAATCTTTGGAATCCTTGTTTTTCCTCAGATTACTCCCTGAAACTCTACCTTCTTCCCCCAATCTCTAGGCCTCTGGTCAACTTTCATTTATTAAATTTGCCGTTTCCTAGAGTCCATATCACCTGTCTTTTGCTGGCAAAAGACTATCATATAACTTCCGAAGAAAGATTTAACTTTAAGTCTGTTTATCTGAAAATGTTTCTATTAATAATTATATTGCTAGATAAAGAATTCCATAATCTACATGGTTCCTGGGGATATCATTCTTATTTATAGCTTAGTCTAATTCATAAATTTCAGCAGTCTCTGTAAAGTTTAGCTCAGTCTTTGGAAGGATGATAGTTCATTCATTCTTCCAAGTCTCCTACCCCCATGTTCATCTATAAGACAACATCAATATTTTCTTAAGTCATGGGGCCTGGATGAACCCTAAAACTATTGTCCTGAGATAATATTTAAACTTTAAACCAAACAATAGTTAACTGTGTTAAAGTGCAATAAAATCTATCTACCTTGAGTGGTTTCCTCTTTTTTTCACGATCTTTCTATATGGGATCAAATTGACAACAATGAGTCAGAAGATTGGGTCAGAACCTTAGGGCACAGTGAGTTTCATGGGGGATGAACAGTTCAGAAAAGAACAAGGAGAACGGTCACACAAATTGAAGAATATAATCAATGTCACTGAATTGCATGCGTGAAAACTTGAAGGGGTGTATGGTTTCTATGTATATTCTCAAGAACAAAATAAAATTTTGAAATATTACAACCAGAAACCCTGGAAAGATAAAAGACTCTGATTTACAGATTTGCCGCTTTATAATGTCCAAACTGGCCAGTTTTTAACCTGAAACCCCAGGAAAGTATGACCCCTACATAAGAAAAAAAATTAATAGAAGCTGTCCATGAAAAAGTGTACACATCAGACTTGTAAGATAAATACTTTAAAACAACTATTGTAACTATCCTTAAAAAACTAAAGGAAACCAGGAACAAAGAACTCTGGCCAGGAGAACAGTGCCCACCACATGAAAAATACCATTAACAATACTGAAATTTAAAGATAAAACCAAATAGAAAAATACAATAATGGGAATGAAAACTTTACTAGAGGCATTCAGCAATAGGTTTCAGTAGGTAGAAGAAAGAATCAGTAAACTTGAGGATGGGTCAGTTGACAGTCTGAAGAATAGAAAAGCAAAAATGAGTAGAACCTAGGAGACCAGTGGGTTACCACCAAGCAAACCAGTATAACAGTACAGAAGTCCCAGAGGGAGAAGAGAAAGGAACATAAGGAATATTTTGAAGACATAATTTTAGGGGGCGAATCTCTTTGATTTTATCCCAGTGTGTAGGCTCATTAAACTTTTTGAATATCTCTCAACTATAAGGATAGAAATGGATATGCTATACAAACACAAATCCAAAGAAAGTTGAATGGTTGGATTACTCCCAGATAAAGCAGACTTCAAAATAGATAAAATTGAGAGTAATATGGGAGGTATTAGACAATAATAAAAGTACCACTTTACCAAGAAGGCGTAAAACCTCTTAATTTATATGCACTTAACAACTTGAAAATATGCACAGCAGAACTCAAAAGGAGAAATGGATCAATCTACAGTTACAGTTGGAGACTTAAGCACTCTCTTTTTGTGTGTGCATGTTTTTATTTAAGAAAGGGTTCAATCCCACACTAATCGCCCATATTACAGATTTAAAAAGTTGCAGTAAATTCATGTCCTTGAGAACTAACTTTTTCTTGTGTGTTGAATATAAAATTTGTTTTGTTTTCAATTATTAGAGAAGTTTTCCATAACCCAAAGTAAAAATTAGTTGACCCACTTTTTAAAGAAATTTAGAACAGATTTACAGTTGAGAGAATGTGAGATAAAAGATCATTTACACTATTATTCTCCAAAGCACAAAGATGACTTTGATGTAACTGAAAGTTATAACTTATTTATGAGACATGCAAATTATCTCATGGTTTATGCACACTGCTACAGATAAGAGCCCGCAACACAGGGAATCCAGGATAGATAAGCCCACCAGGGCCAATAATGAGAGTAGAGATACCAGGAGGATAGGGGAGAGTGGGGGGAAAGGGGGAGAAATCCATCATAAGGATCAACTTATAACCCCTTCTCAGGGAGACAAACAATGGAAAAGTAGGTGAGGGACGATGGAGGACGATGTAAGATATGAAAATAATCTCTACTTATCAAGGGTTTGTGAGGGAGGGTGGGCAGGGAGGGAGGGGGGAAGAAATGGGGAGCTGATATCAGGAGCTCAAGTGGGAAGAGAATGCTTTATAAATGATGGCAGCATATGTGCAAATGTGCTTGACACAATGCATGAATGTTTAGATTGTGATAAGATGTAAGAGGCCCCAATAAAAGTGTTTAATAATTAAAAAGAAGATTTGGTCTCAGAACACCCTCCGTCCCAATAAAAAAAAAAGGCTTAAACACTTAGTCATAGAAATAGGCAATATCTGCAAGGGTGGAGGATTGGCAAGTGAAGGGCCACAGGTACACCTTCCTGTTTAAGTGCACATAGAATATTCGCCAAGGGAGAATAGCTTCTGGATTGTACAACCCCAGAATTAAAGGGAAAAATTCACCGTATATATTTGAGTGTAAGCTGAGTTTTTCAGCACTTTTTTTTTTATATAGCTTGAAAACGTTTATATTTTGCATTAGCCAGCTGGGCTCACTTTAGATGATTCCAATTTTGTTGGCAACATCTAAAGCGTCATAGTCAGGAGCCAGTCGAACATATGCCTTCTTCTCCCCGTCAGGCCTGATCAAGGTGTTGACCTTGGCTACGTCAGTGTCATAGAGCTTTTTCACAGCCTGCTTGATCTGGTGTTTGTTGGCTTTGACATCCACAGTGAACACAGTGTGTTGTTATCTCCGATCTTCTTCATGGCAGACTCTGTGGTCCAGGGGAACGTGATCA